TTCCTTATATGGGTATCGTTGAACACGACCTAATAAGGCTCCGGTCTCGTGGAAACTGTGTCGCTTTACTTTTTGTACTGTTTCGTAACTAGAAGTGCAAGTTGCAACACTACTTACAATTGGAAATTCAGCAAATTGAACTATATTTTTGTTAAAGGACTCTACCTAGATACAACTCCCTTTTGTGGTCAACAAGGTTTTCAAGGTTGTTCGTGCGATTATAATAATAGGATCTTACATTAGGTAGACAGGATCAGTGGAATGCCGTCAGGGATTCCGGGACGAAATATCTTTTTATATGAGGTCACCGTAGAGGTCGGAATTTCTGCGCTGAGGTCATCATTTTGTTACGCAGCGTATTCGTTTGCGGTCTTAAATCGACTACAAATAAAATTCTTTAAGTATGAGTTTGGACAATGACTGGTAATTTTCGAAGAAGAAATTTGTTTTGAGGATCCTCTTTACAACGTCTTAACGAATAAAGGATATTTGATGAAGGAAAGTATCTCTTTGTAGCTCACTTTTGTGCTCGAAACGATGCTTAAGCGATGAAACCGACGAGTATCCTACTGAACTAAAGTGCTGTTGAGAAGAAATACCTCTTAGATGTATTAGAAGCCTTCCAAGGCTCCTAAAAAAGGGCTCCTGAAACACAACAATTTTTTGCTACCAAGTGAAAAATCAATGAAAAATACCTCGTAGGTTCTAATTAATTTGATGGAAAAGACAATGTATTTACATAACACTGGTGTTGACATGGCATGGCATTGTATACAGGTACATTAGTTATCGGACTAGCTTCCTGTTTAGCACTTACCTTGTTATCTTCTTTTTATATATTTTTAAATAGTTCACCTAGCAACCGTTTGTTTATGGACATGTTCATGTTGTTTAGTAAGAATGAGGTTAGATCAAAAGCCTTCTTCGACCTTCACGGTATTCGACCCCTATTGGCATCAATTGATGAATAGAAGAAAAAAAAGAGAAAACCATCAAGAAAATAGCGTACTCCTTTTTAAAAGGCTGGCAACGCGCCTGTGACTCCTCTGGTGTTGCGGGTGTCCATGGGCGGCGCTGATCGCTCACCATCAGGTGAGCCGTATGCTCGTTTGCCTCCTATTCCATAAAAAAATAGAACTAGGCGAGGTAGTGGCCAAACATCGACTGATCATACAAAAAGAAACTGTGTTATAACCGCCTGTCTCCCTATTCGAACTTGATAATTTTGAAAATGTAGTTTTCTTAATATTGAAGATTTTGTCCGTTATCAAAACAAAATATTTATAGCTTAACAGAAGTCATTAGTTAAACAATATTTAATTGAATTTATCTTTACCGGTCGAAGTATTATCGTTTTGTATTAATGTTAGTTTAATTAATACTGCTATCTGGTATCTGACTATTCTATACTACCTAACGAGTTTAAATTAAATAGTGGAACGAATGTTTTTGTCTTACAGACTAGATTATTTCTTTAAACTGTCAAACACCAAGCGGTCACCGGTGACCGCGACCTATTGTTCTTTAATTGTGTCTATAAATACGGTACTCGACGAGTTAAATCATGTCGTCAACTGCATGTACGTATTTAAGTCTATTATATTGTCTTGTCTTCTTTCTTAAAGGTTAACTTTTACTACGAAAGTAACCTATGGAGTGATCCAAATATCTACAAAATTATATGTTACTAGCTTCTGCCCGCGACTTCATACGCGCAATCCCGTTTTCTCTCGTGCCCGTTCCGGGTTTTCAGGATTTTTTGTTTTAAGAATCTTCTTCTAATAATAAAAAATACAACCAAAAACTAATTAGTGAAATTGGTTCAGCCATTCACGCGTGATGCCGTGACCAAGGGAAAAAGGGTTTCATTTTATATATATAGAAGGAAATAAAATTATAATTGGAAACTCTTTCCTCGATTTGTCTAGACATCACTTGACATCATTTGCCATTTATTACGTAGTCAAAACGTGATCTTTGATCCCCCCATTGGTATTAGCTGGAAACCTATTTACATTCAGCGCACGCAGCGTTGTAAACGTATACTACACTTTCATAGAACTTGGACACCAACTGCGACACCTACTTAGAAGCCGTCTCATATTTTATAGAATCATACCTAAGTCATAACATAGCAACACGCCTTTTTTTAAGGGGGGGGGGGGAATCATCGAATGACTGCTCCCGCCTGGGTGAGGCGGGAGGGAGTGTCAGACTCTTACTGACTAAAAACCACCCCGTTCCTTCTCCTGCACGGCGAGCCGGATCGGCATCGGCCCTATTGGGCCCCATCTGTGGTGGTAAAGCCTAGATTCGGGTGGAGGTGTACAAAGTTTTGCGAGTTAGTCCAAACTTAATAGAGGCCAAAGCCGAACAGCCAGATAATCACGAAGCAGCAGACAATACAATTCCAAATATTGTCCTATTATTGAGAAATTCAAATACCTAAAGAATACCTACTAAGACTATAGCACAGAAACTAGATTATTAGACAAAAAGTACTGTTCAGTTTGTCTCTAAACCTTAACCATTGTTACTATTGTTAGCCCTTTTAGTCCTGTACATATAATAGGGGTTGATCCTACAGGATACAACATCGAAGACTGCATCATTGAGAATTTTTGTTTAATTTTGATATCTTGCTTGACAGTCACGTTTACTACCACCTCAACCAACAAGGTATTCAGCCGTAAGCTATCGATCTATAGATCATCAGCCGGGTCAGGTGTTAACACAAACATCGATTATGCTCCTACGCAGTACCCTGCAGCCCGGACGCGGGTCACGTCGTAAATTGATTGATATAATTATATTTATCAAAATGATAACTTATCTCGGATAAGCTTTGATGTCGCCGGTAGTTGTAGCATTGGCAAACATAGGACGGTTTACTGTTAGGTAATGGGTAATATTTGATGTGTAGAGAAAAAAAAGATTGGACTACTTATTTTCTTAGTTCATCTTCAGCCGGAAAAAGTCCTCTGCTGAACAACCACTCCTTTTATCTTACTTACCAGGCACCTCTAAAAACACAAAAGACGTAATAATTATACATAACATGAGTTTTATGACTATGCTACCGTGACGTCATGTTATGAATCAGACTGACAGTTTTTCGAAAGATTATCAAATAAGTAGCACTTTCCTAGTGCTTTCTAAACTCGCAAACATATTACTGAAACCTAATCAAATACTAAATATAATGAAAGTGGTATACCATTGACAATGTAACACCAACCTAGGCTATACATCGTCCGTTATCTTCCTCAATACGTAAACAAAAGCCTAATAATTTAAGAAATCAATCTCAGTATATCAATTCTGCCAATATAACGATTCTACCAATTAGCATCTAGTTAATTATTCCTACTAATTACTTGTTTGCTCTAAGATATACAAGCACTATCTACTTGACCTGAATAACTTAGTACTTTAGTGTTAAACTCATTTGCACGGATAGTAGGCTGAGCAAGTTTGATTGAATTTTATCTGGGTGCTCCATAGAGCTTTATGTCGACCGGCATTTCAAGTGTTCGTGTATTAAAATGTCATGATGTGGGCACAGATCTTAATTGCCTGCATAATATTAGGTATGTCATTCTCATTTATAGCGTTGGATTAATTAGGGAAATCTTTGTATGGTTTGGAATACATTTTGAACGGGTTCATAAGTTAGAATTAAATTTGAATCCATACATTACAAAAGATGCCAAATCAAAAAGAGGTACAAATCTGATGCCAGACAGCGATGTCTCAAGTAGAGACAGCATCCACCCTTAAAAAACTCGCGTATACATAACACATAACATTCCATGTAACACAAGACAACACAAAACGTAGCACATAACAAAAGCCAATTTTCTTATAAGAAACAACACAATAGTTTATGCGCGGTCGCAGATGCGCGGATGTACGCGATTGTTGCGCGTGATTCACTCTTGCGCACTTCTTGTTCTTACCGCCATTTCTACGGATGCGGATACTTTCGTTTTCGTTTTGTTTTTTCCCCTGTGATGTTATGACATTGATATGTCTTGTTAGTATCGAAGTTCCATGTTTATGTGGGAAGTAATAGCGTGTTTAATTAATGTTCTAGCTAAACTAAGTAACACTCTTATTTGTGTCACGATTTTACTTTTCCTCTAAGCCAGATGTTTCTGATGTTTCCTGTTTTTTTTTTGTTTGTTTTCGTCAAAGGCAGATTATTAGTTACTTAAACTGTAATTACATAATTATGTGAGCAAATGAATGCTAGAAAGTTCGTCTTGTAAACTTCAGATAGCTCTCATTGACTATATTGAATTAAGTTTACGATCTTTGTAAATAGCCGTATCGAATTTGATTATCTCCTAATTAAAAAATCGTAATCGTTATTGTATTTAAAATTTTGGGGTTTATGCTTGACGCTTTTTTTGGATTTGCTACCTCTTGGTCCTTGTTTTCAAAAATAGTATTCTCTTTTGTAGATTCGATATTCAAGTTTTAGATTTCATACATTTCTTTTCTTTCTAATCTTCACATTGCGTGATATTTGAACATAACTTCAATGACTACATTACCTGTCTTCGGTTAGAAATGCCAATGAAGATTTATTTGAATTAGTGTACATTGTTCCTTATTCTTTAATGCTGGATTGATTAACAAAGATTCAAGAATTCAATAAACCAAACACATTTATTAAGAAGCAACAGTCTTATGTCTTTAGCTATTTTTTTTTCTTGAATGGCAACGGAATCTCCGACGCCGTGTTGTCGACTACACTGCCAATGTCGAGTAGTGTAGCTAAATATTTGTGCCTGCCATGGCGTACAACGTCTACACGTTAAACGCCATGGGGGTCACCGGTGACCGACGACGTCAGCAGAGGATTTACCCCCAAAGGTTTTTATATCATGGCAGTTGAAGGCTTAAATATTGGTCGATGTATTTTTCTTTTTAGTTTACTTTAGTAAAACATTTCCTAAAAACCGTTTACTTATCTCCTCTTTCTTCTTCCACAGACATACTCCGGTCTCTTCTGTGTAGTGGTGAACCCCTACAAGAAGCTGCCCATCTACACGGAGAAGATTATGGAGAGGTATAAGGGGATAAAGCGGCATGAAGTACCTCCCCATGTGTTCGCCATCACAGACACTGCCTACCGTTCTATGTTACAAGGTAAATTTAAGTGCATTCAGATATTTAATTAAAATTTATACATAGATAAGTTGCAACAGGCTCACTCCTTATTACATGGGATTCATAACATAGTGAAAAGTGGGTGTTACATTATACAGTGGTATAAAGTGCACCTCTGCCTACCCCTTCGAGGATAAAAGGCGTGATGTTATGTTATGTTATAAGTTGCAACAGTTCTTATAAATGAAGTTTTATTCAATTCAGTATCGACTGTAAAATGTAAGTATTGGTATGTGAAAACTCACTGAATAAGTCCTCGAATGAGTAATTATTTACTAGTTTTACTACTATAGCTTTCACAAAGAACCTTAGTTTAGTCAAATGTTTACATTTTAAAAAGAAAAAGGAACTAGTATTTTCAACAGTTCGCTATCCGTAATGGAAAAAATACAGGTTCGAGCAATAAATAACCTCTCGCCTTGTACGAAATAAAGTGGTATGCGACAGTTGTGCCATAAGTCATTCCGTATCGGCGCCATTATAGAACAATTAGACGAACGTTCGTTATCTGTGGTCGCTAGTGAGGGGCGCGGTATCGACATACTTTACAGAAGGTTGCTTTAAAATTATTTAAGAAACTAGCTTATACACAGCGGCTTTACCTAAGTTAATTTAGCCTATATACTTATCCCAACTATACGTAGTCCTTCAATAAGATTGAGCGCTTAAATTGAGGTAACAAACATAGGTACTTTCGCATTTATAATATGAGTTGAGAATCTCAAAGAAAAGTTTTAGTTTTTAAAGTATTCAGCCGTGTAGATCGATATGCCGTTTGGGGTAACGCACTCAGGTTCTTGCGTCTGGTCGTTACCCCGAGGGAGCCATCCGTTCCGTAAAAAAACTTTACCAAGTTTGCAGTTTTCACATACATTTTCTTACAAAAATGTTTACGATATTTTATTTATTGAGACTGTACCATTATGGGCCCTTAGATAAAATTAATTGCTAAGCACCGTAAAGTCAATTAATAATACTATATTCGACACGAAAACCTGCTCCCTGCAATGTATCTTACTAGGCAATATTGCTTTATAAAGTGTTGGCTAATTTCGCTGACAATAGACAAATATGGAAAAGGCTTATTACTCATTTTGTCCCCTCTCAGCTGCGACGTAATTTGCTCGATATCGAGAGCTATTACTAAACAATTAGAGCGACCTAGTAACTTATCGTAGTCTAGTTATACTGTCTCGATATTGTATTGTTATTGTCTACGTTGAAAATACAACAAAAACTTATTTAGAAGCATATTTGAACTGTACTCATAAATTATCAGATTATAATCTGATAATACCTAAGCATAATCGATATAAACTTGTTCAATAGCAAACAACTAACTTTGATTTTAGAAGTAAAAGTAATAGGTATAACTAGAAGCCTCACGAGCTTGTTTTAAGTTTAAAGTAATCGTAACGAGTGGGCGTTTGACGCCCTGATTGGCCGGCTTCAATGCACTAACCAATCAGCACCGAACGCGATATAATTTCGGTTACTTTAAATGTAGAATAAGACTCGTACTAAGCCCGTAGAGCCTGAGCAGTTTTGGTCTAGCAGTATACAATATAATAAACATTAGTTACTAAAGGAACGAGATTTTCGTCAAAAACTCTTTAAACTTCCTTAAATAATTTTAAAAGTTTTCTCGGTTTCCCCATCACTAGCCTATAATATCCCATCTACACTACGACACCACTAATGATCCTAGCACAGGTAAGGGCAACGCCCACGACAACAGCAGAATGTTTCGTAACCACCTAATTACTAAGTACGATATGGCGACAGAATTGTACCATAGAATACAATGCAAATCCACTGTAGCTGACTACAGGAAGTATTGCTACGGGAAGGAAAATTATTTGTGTAACAACCTACAACAATCGTACTACAACTGTGTATTGTATGTTTATTTGTGTTTAAAGGAAAAATGTTCTGCTATCCTGATTTATTAACAGGATTCTAAATGAGTTGTTTGTCATCAGTTACACGCCTAAAGTTCTTTGCCTGTATGTATATATATTAATTGGGAAGCATGTTATAGGTCTGAATTTTTAGTTCACTTGTTTGAATTTATTGCTGTTTATCAAAAAAATAGGCATATGTTCGAGTTTCAAGTAAAAAATTAAACAGACTTTTTCATATACTCCGACTATGTGTGCGATTTTCAATGAAAATAAATATAAATGTGATATAAAAATCCAGAAATAACTAGTTAATATTTAGTTTGTTCTAGCTCCGCCCGTATCAAATACGTCAACGCAATCTTCACGCCTTTTTCACTTACAAAGTGAATTAAAACGATAGTTACAATACGATAACTCGATTGATCTTAAACTCCAAAGTGGGAAAAGTAGATGATTTCTTTTAATATTTATTATCATCTACATTCCTAAGGTGTAAGTACAATAGCACGCTACACGATCATTTCTATAACTGCTAACTCTTAACTCTACCTCAAAAGGGTTACAAGATGTTTTGCTTATCTTTTTCTCCCACCCACCCAACAATATCCCCTTCAACAACACGTATTCATTATAATACTAGGGTCGTCATGAAAACCGTCGTCGAGGCCTCCCGGCTACCCTCGTCATGTTTCACAAATTAAACCGGCTTGAAAAATGTATACAATTTTCAGGGGACATACTTCGCATTCTATTTGTACACATTCTGCAAATGTTACTGCGTATACTGAATTTTGTGTATTGTTAATTATTATTTTCTGTTATATTAGAGCATGAGAGATATTTCAAAAAGCTAAAATAGCCTAATTAACCAAACAGACCATATTAATATAAGATTGTTAATTTTACTGCCTGCCTTGTTGGCCGAGCGGTCGCAAGTGCGACTGCCGAGCAAGGGGTCTCGGGTTCTATTCCCGGGTCGAGCAAAGTATTACTGGGTTTTAAAAAAGATCTCAGTAATAGGACGGAGTCTGGAATTGTGCCCGGTATATGCCAATAGGCTCACCCCCTATTACATGGGACTCATAACATAAATAGTGAAAAATGGGTGTTACATTGTACAGTGGCCCCTTCGGGGATAAAACGCGTGAAGTTATGTTGTGTGTTGTAACATTTCACTCCTTTCAATAGTAAAAGATTCAATAATCCATATACTAATACGAGTACCCCATATCTTTCAGATCGAGAGGACCAGTCAATTCTTTGCACAGGAGAATCCGGTGCTGGTAAGACAGAGAACACGAAGAAGGTGATACAATACCTCGCGTATGTCGCCGCATCAAAACCCAAGGGATCTGGAGCGGTAAGCACCATCGTCAAACTCATTTTATTAAAAAAGTACCGAGTATACATAAGTATTGTGTAGGTAGGTAATTTCTGCTTAGGGCCTATTCCTGGCTAGTTTTGGCTAGCCAGATTTTTTATCAGATTCGACCTATTGTCTGGAACGGCAACTACCAACCATAATATGTGTAGGATGATACTTTGATTAGATATGCTTAAAATTATAGACTTATTTAAAAGTATTCTTTTAGAGACTGCAAATACTGCATCTAAATAAAAATATCCAGCTAAATATAAGTTTACAATGTCATGTGACTTTATTGTTTGGAATATGCATATTTAATTTTATCCCTTGCATTGTTTACAAAAATACTATTACGAAATTAAATTGAATGCTGTGTTAAATATATGACCATATATTTTCTTTTTCAATTCTTGTATTGTTTCATGATATAAAATAAACTATGTCTAGTAATGATATATTATTATGATAGCGTTATTTAGGGACAATATATTAGGTATTTAATATACTATCTAGTGCAATGTGAACTATGAATATTTATTCAATCAAATTACATCTTATTTTGTTTTAACCCTTTAACAAATTCTCAAGTTACATAATTACAGGTAGCTATTTATCCTAGTTCAGTTCACTTCCTAGACGTAACTACAAAGTTAAATGACAATGTTTATTTAAGTAAAGCAGTAACATAACTATCGTTTACATAATCTGTGGTATCTACCATGACACTTGCGTGGAGTTAATGAATACGCGGTTAAATAATTGAGTTACTACTACTGCATTATAGACGTTATAACTGTTGTAAGGGGCTGTTTAAGTTAGGGGACGTTTTGATTGTCATTTCAAAAGGTATTTTAGTAAATTATTTAGTTATTACTTGGTACAGTCGATGTGAAAAATAACTATGAAATGAGTTTTTGAGGGTACATAAAGGAATTCTTAAATAGTTTTTAAATATAGGTTTAAGCAAAAAGTAGTCAGATATTTATATATAGTAGGATTGTTGTTACAAACGTAAATCCTTATTTCTAGTGATCAGTAAGTTCTAGGTAACAAAATTCAAAATGTCATTATACTTTTTTATCCACATAATGGAATGACGCTAGTTTTATTGTTTTATTATACGTTTTTAATTATCTATTAAATTAATCGTTAATTGCATTGTTGTAAGCGTTCGCACGTGTACTGGTTCGGCTATCGCGTTCGGGTGAGCGAATTAAAACAATTTGTTATCGGCTAGCAAATTGGTACAAATACGTATTTTATAGGTACTTTCTCTTCAGTCAAATAATTAAAAATTACTTACTTATACTGATTATCTAGGCCAATGAAGTTTCTGCTAGTATTTACAATTATTCTGCAAATTAATGCTAATTGTTGTTCTTATTACTTAGACTCGTTGTTATATCTACTGCTACGATATATCGTAAAGGTTTCACAGCTAGATCTTGGACTTTGTAGGTAGAGTGTGCGTCATTTTTCTGGTTTACTGTACGCTATACATATATGTTTGTTTGATACCACTTCGACACATGCATGATGGCAATTTTTATGTACAGCACATTGTACTATTTCTTAGTGTTGCTAGAAAAAAAAAGTATTGTCTTAAAAATTGAACAAAGAATTATTTTTCTGGCAACATAATGTGTGTAGATAATTAAGAATCTGTTTTATTTCTGTTCTACAACACACTGATGTATATTTTTTTTATTTTCCCTCTTCTCCGTGATCCTGGAAATCGATACGACCACAACAGGGACCGTCGCCACAGTTGATTATAGTAAGTCATGGAATACTTATACAAAAAACAGGATAATTACTAATCGCCTGTCGGATTTAGGGATGGTATTTTGGGTGTGGTATATTATTCTCTAATTTACGCAATGCTGAAATTGTGAAATAACTACGGAATGTATTTTTCGGCACTGGAGTAACCATGATAACAACTATCCCATCGTTTGTTTTTAAAGACGTCACAACCATAAACATGAGGGGCGGGAGGGATGGCATGGGCCGCATGTAAAATTTTCAAACCTAATTTTACTGATCCTTACTGTTTGCACATACGACCATTATCTGTTTGTGTATGTAAAAAGTTTAATGTTCTACACTATTGGTGAAAAAGATTTTTTATCTATGGTTTAGTCATCGGTTAATTCAATTCAGAGAAAATAGTATCAATGAATCATTGCAATTTATAAATAACGAATAATGCAATGTAAATATATTCAATGATAATACATACATAACATATTAATATTGAATTAAATCAAATGCTAGAGAATAATTTGCCACAATATACTTGGATTGGATAATGGGTGCTTTTACAACGGGGTATGGTTGGGTTTGGCATGGCAAGAGCATTGCGCTACAGGGTGTCATCAATTTCTTCTTACATGGTGAATTCTATCTTTTTATTTTATTAATGCTATGCCTGATTACTAAGTTTGAAAAACAAAGCTTGCATGTTTACCCTATAAGTATTTGTTATCTAGTTTATTTATTTATGTACCTATTATAAAACGTGTATTCTCCAATGAGAACCGTTATTATATATTTGTCAATATTTAGTATATCTAAAACAGTTACAAAATTACAATAAAAGATCTTAACTTCTTCTTTTCAGAATTATTATTTTATTTTGTTGTTCAATCATATTTATACATATTTATTGTTTCCTACTTTGTACATTTCAGTGTACCTCATTAGCTTAAGAATATCCACTCCCACAATCTAACAAGTAATCAGCTTTGCGTCATGCGCTAACCTGAATGTATGAATTTGTCATTAAATTGCCCAACAATGGTCAATTCTCGACGTCCGTCGTAAAATATACCTCTTTATGAGTCGTAAATAAATATTGTTGTACTAGAACATGCTTAAAGAGAACGTGTTGCGAAACATGTTGCGAGACGAACGTTTATGGTATATTTTGTACCTAATTTATGTTCGTTATGGATATATTTTAGTAACGGGGTCTTAAACTTTATGTTTGCTAATTAGTAAAAAAATTTCAAGGATTTTTTTTAAATAATAACTGGTAAAGTTCAGCCTTCAAGAAAAGAGCGTATTCCTTTTTAAATGGCTGGCAACGCACCTGTGACTCATCTGGTGTTGCGGGTGTGGCGGGGCTAATCGCTTACCATCAGGTGGTCCGTCTGCTCGTTTGCCTCCTATTCCATAAAAAAAAGAAAATTTAATTATGTTGCTGCAACGTGTCTTGTAACATGTGATTCAACAACATTCTCATTCAAAGAGGTATATTAGTGAATGTATTGTGATGTTGCTATTGTATTGTATGTATCATACTAACCCTGTAACATTAACCTGTAACCTTTCATTTCACGCTGCTAATCCCTTCGTAGACAAACGGACCAACATTTGAGGTAATGGATCGCTAACCATTCATTTTCAACGTTGCTCTAAACCCTGTCATACAATAATTCTCTTTATTAACATTGTTTGAATGTTAAGATTTTGTTCAACTTGGCACAAGTCGATAGAACATATTTTTGAATGAAATATGAGCTGTAACTTACGTCAAGTTCAAAAACTTAGATCTGTAATTATGTATTGCATTTGGTTTAATATCATTAATTTAATTTACTAACATCCATGAATTCGTTTTTTTTTATTTTAACAGCATTTAGATACCATTACTAAAAGCTTAGTCATTAACATGTTTTTATTTCATTTGCGTGAACAAATCTGTTGTTTACGAAATAATAAAACATTTTTTTTCTATAGGGTGAACTGGAACAACAGCTGTTACAAGCTAACCCCATATTAGAAGCCTTCGGTAACGCCAAGACTGTTAAAAACGACAACTCTTCTAGATTTGTAAGTATAACTATTATCTTCTGAAATGTATTCGATACTATACAATAGGTAATCTCACGTACTGTTTCTGTTTTCAGGGTAAATTCATTAGAATAAACTTCGACGCGTCAGGTTTCATAGCGGGCGCGAACATCGAAACGTATTTACTCGAAAAGTCAAGAGCTATCAGACAAGCGAAAGACGAGAGAACATTCCACATATTCTACCAGCTCCTTGCCGGTGCCACGACGCAGCAGAGAGCTGAGTACATCCTAGAGGACCCCAAGAGCTATCCATTCCTGTCCAATGCTGCACTCCCTGTCCCTGGTATCGACGATGCAGCCGAGTTCCAGGCCACCATCAAGTCCATGAACATCATGGGCATGAACAACGAGGACTTCAACTCGATATTCAGGATAGTCTCAGCAACTCTACTCTTCGGCTCCATGCAGTTCAAGCAGGAGAGGAACTCCGACCAGGCCACGTTGCCTGACAACACAGTCGCGCAAAAGATCGCGCATTTACTTGGTATGAAACAATTTTGTTGTCATTTTGATATCGCTTATGGATAGTCGTCGGTGTGGTTGTTCTTACGTATTTCTCTTTCTGTTCCAGGTCTTTCCGTCACAGAAATGACTAAGGCGTTCCTCAAACCTAGAATCAAAGTGGGTCGCGACTTCGTCACGAAAGCTCAGACCAAGGAGCAGGTGGAGTTCTCAGTGGAAGCTATCGGCAAAGCTTGCTACGAGCGCTTGTTCAGATGGCTCGTGAACAGAATCAACCGCTCCCTCGACAGGACCAAGAGACAAGGAGCGTCCTTTATCGGTATTCTCGATATGGCTGGTTTTGAAATCTTCGAGCTCAACTCCTTTGAGCAGCTCTGCATCAACTACACCAACGAGAAGCTCCAGCAACTCTTCAACCACACTATGTTCATCTTGGAACAAGAAGAGTACCAACGCGAAGGTATCGAGTGGAAGTTTATCGATTTCGGTCTCGATTTGCAACCGACCATCGACTTGATCGACAAACCTATGGGAATAATGGCTTTGTTGGACGAGGAGTGCTGGTTCCCCAAGGCTACTGATAAGACGTTTGTTGAGAAGCTGGTGTCAGCACACTCCGTCCATCCCAAGTTCATGAAGACTGATTTCCGTGGAGTTGCGGACTTCGCGATTATTCACTACGCTGGCAAAGTAGACTATTCCGCAGAGAAATGGTTGATGAAGAATATGGACCCTCTGAACGAGAACGTCGTGTCCCTCCTCCAGTCATCTCAGGATCCGTTCGTGTGTCACATCTGGAAGGACGCGGAGATCGTGGGCATGGCGCAGCAGGCGATGACGGACACACAGTTCGGTGCGAGGACCCGCAAGGGCATGTTCAGAACAGTCTCTCAATTGTACAAGGAACAGCTGACCAAACTGATGGCGACGCTAAGGAACACTAACCCGAACTTCGTAAGGTGTATCATTCCCAACCACGAGAAGAAGGCTGGAAAGATCGAAGCGCCTCTAGTTCTCGACCAGTTACGTTGCAATGGTGTGCTTGAAGGTATCAGGATCTGCAGACAAGGTTTCCCCAACCGTATTCCCTTCCAGGAGTTCAGACAGCGCTATGAGCTGCTGACTCCTAACATCATACCGAAAGGTTTCATGGATGGAAAGAAGGCTTGTGAGCAGATGATCGAGGCTCTAGAGTTAGATCACAATTTGTACCGCGTCGGTCAGTCCAAGATCTTCTTCCGGGCTGGTGTACTGGCACATCTTGAGGAGGAACGGGACTACAAGATCACTGACTTGATAGTCAACTTCCAAGCGTTCTGCCGAGGCTACCTTGCTAGGAGAAACTACCAGAAGAGACTGCAACAGCTGAACGCTATCCGTATCATTCAGAGGAACTGCGCCGCCTACCTCAAGCTGCGCAACTGGCAATGGTGGAGACTGTACATCAAGGTAAGTAAACATTACCGTCGCGATTTCACTCCAGATCACTTCAATACCACTTTTCATAAAATACACGTCATTCTATATAGTCATCTAATGAATATAGATCTAGTTATGTTTTGGAAATATTCCTGCATTAATGCATAACAAATTCTATTCATTTCTTTGTGTAATAATTATTTTAACTGCGAATACTATAGCGCACTGATGTAAGTGTATGGAGTTACAGTAAAGTTACAGACATAATAAGAAGACGTCGAGTAAGACGCAGAGAAGAGCTGCAACGTAACATACTCTTATTTTTTGTTATCAAATATTTTGTTAACTAAATTCTAACTTAAACATAATGTAACCTGCCGACATGCGTAAGCGCATACAATATCATTGTCATTCTTAACTCTTAACACATTCATTAAAAATGTCTCATTATATTTTTGTTTCCAAGCTGCATAGTGATCACCTTGTTGCGCGGACGCAACTGAGCTTTCCATGTTACGCTTTCATTCATCGAACATGTCACTAAATATATTTTCAATACAGGATTATTGGTACAACATTAGGTTCGGGCTTCACAAGAGCGGGGACGTGACGATAGATGATGTTATTTTAAACAACCAATAGAGTTTAGTTCTCTACTCTGTTTCAGTGGAAATTACTGTGTGGTTGTTTAATATACATCCTCACTCCTTTCCTTTCGTTTCCGCTTTGGTGGAGACCTAGCCTAATTAACAGGACAGTTGTTATTGATATTATTGTCGTGTAACATTACCAATATTTCTGTATGTCATACCATTAACTTTGTATGTGTATACTGTGTTTGCATGTTCTGTGTCCCATCACCCAACCCTAACCCGATTTCCAGGTCAAACCCCTTCTAGAAGTGACGAAGCAAGAAGAAAAGTTGACGCAGAAGGAGGACGAGCTCCGTCAGATTCGTGAGAGATTGGACACCCAGGTGAAGAGATGCCAGGAGTACGAGCAGAAGTACCAGCAGGCCAATGCTGAGAAGACACAGTTGGCTGAACAACTACAGGTCAGTTTCATTAACTTTCTACATAAATAAGCTTTAAATTTTGTAGAGGATGTGCTTATCACCATTTTAGAACTTTGAAAAGATCAGTTAAAAGAAAAAATATGTCACTTTTTTCTCATAGAGATTTATTAATTTGTCAAAGACATTTATGAGAAACCTTTCTTTAGATAGGTTAAATGGACTCTATTGAAGTATAAACATAAAACACGTTCATTCTGTAACTCTCATTGCTGCCTGAATAGTTATACTTTAGCAGTACTATGGAGCTCTTGTCTATACATAATGGTGAAGATTAAGATCAGTCCGATTTAATTCATTTGGTAAAATTATTATAAATGTATCTTAGGTAGCGACTTTTGGTCATGTAAGGATTAAGTAAAACTTATCGTTATGTCAACCTAATTAGGTACATAATTAAGTATAAGAGATATAATATTATAGGCAAGTGGAAGTATGGTTTGGTAAGATGTTTTTGTTGTTTGTAGGCTGAGTTGGAGTTGTGCGCGGAGGCGGAGGAGTCCCGCGCCCGGGCCGCGGCACGCAAGCAGGAGCTGGAGGAGCTGCTGCACGACCTGGAGGGACGCATCGAGGAGGAGGAGGAACGGTGCAACGCGCTGCAACAGGAGAAGAAGAGGTTGCAGCTTAACATACAGGTAAAGGAGTTTTACTAGATTTTTGTCAGATCAGCTGATAGTAAACAATCGGCGTCGCCACTTGACTCCAAGAAGACTAAGGTTACAAGTGCGTCGCCAGTCTTTAGGGATTGAGGATGGGGGTGATCTCATATAAATATTTCTGAAAAAATGAAATTATATTATTGCTACTGAGCTCTAATCATTACTGAAATTACTGTGTATCAAAGTTTTTATTGGCATTTTTAATTATGATTATATTGTTTAAAACTTTAATTTAGTACATTTTCCTTTTTTCTTCTTGGATATTAAATATTTGTGGTAACATTTATAAAGCAACAGTATTTTCACCATCACAATATAGTTAGTACAATAAACATGGGCTAATACATTTATTTTCTCTACATCTAGGATCTGGAGGAACAGCTGGAAGAGGAGGAGGCTGCCAGACAGAAGCTGCAGCTGGAGCGCGTGCAGTGTGACTCCAAGATCAAGAAGCTGGAGGAGGACCTCGCACTCAGCGACGATACCAACCAGAAACTTGTCAAGGAGAAGAAGGTAAATAACATTTACTGATTTACATTTCTTATAAGGTGTATAATGTGATGTTTAGAACACATTATTTACCACAATATACCAGAAATTATTCAAAAATTACATTAATATGAGTATTTAATACAGAATCCCAAGTTGTAATTAATGATGTTTCGTAACTAATATGTTGATTAATTGTGCAAAATCAATTTCTTTTTTATTTAGTTCTGCTACAGTAGTTTTTTTATGGTTCTCAAGCCCAGAAGCAGTTAATTCAATAGCCAAAAATAGAAATTTAATAACATTTCTCTGAAAAACAAAAAAGTTGAGGAGGAAATCGTTGGAAAAACACTTAAATAATCTTGGAATTGAAAATTTTCGTAGTAACGACCGGATTAAGTGAATCAATTTATTAGTTGATAACATATTCATAATTGTGATAAAATATTGTTGTCGTCTGAATTTGCCTACCAGTGACCTAATAGTGGCAATGAGCAGCAATGATAAATCGATTAAAAGTACCTACCAACAATTTATAATATAACCTTCTAGAAATAGATTTTTATTTATTTAAACTTTTATTTTGTAATTTTTTCAACACTATACTTATTATCCCATTTTCCATAGCTTCATTGGTCACAAGCAGATTCTTACTTTTAAACATTAACTATAATATTTTTTTTTATATTTTCCAGATCTTAGAAGAGCGTGCCAACGACTTGTCCCAGGCACTGGCCGAGGAAGAGGAGAAGGCGAAGCACCTCAGCAAGCTCAAGACCAAGCAGGAGTCCGCCATCGCAGAGCTTGAGGAGAAACTTCTTAAGGTTAGTTTTAAAGGACTCATAGGCACTCCATTTGGTAGTCATTATAGAATTAGAAGTCAAAAAAAGGTACCGATAAAACTTTCACAAACAATGCTTAAAATGAGTAGAGAAATCATCCTAGTTTCGATATTTCTGTTACTAAGTTATGTTTTCGTTCTAAGTGATACAAAAACATACAGTCGTTATTTATTATTTTGAAAAGTAATCTGTAACATTTCACAACATGTTTCGTTATGTACCAGGATCACCAAATGCGTCAAGAGACGGACCGTGCCAAGCGGAAGCTGGAGACTGAACTGCAGGATGTCAAGGAACAGCTCACTGAGAGGAAGGCGCAGCTTGAAGAGTTGCAGATTGTGCTTAGTACGTATATTATGTATATATGTATTGTATGTTCATACAAAATTGTATGAATTATCCAATCGGCGGATATGTCATAGCAGTTGAGTTTAAGAATGAAATTTTCTAAGGTCAGTCTTACTATCGACTGTATTAAACATTATAAGTTTCGTTACTTGTTAGTTATATTTTTAGTTGTATTTTATAAATGCAAAAACGATTTTGTCTATGAAGCTTATAACTACAAAGCAGAACTCGCAACAAAAATATTTATACTCAAGGTATTGAACAAGCGTATTAAACTGTTAATAATTTTGTAGCAAAGCGCGAGGAAGAGTTAGCGTCTGCAATAAGTCGCGCGGACGAGGAGAGCGCGGCGCGCGCGGCGGCGCAGAAGGCCGCGCGGGAGGCAGAGTCCGCGCTCGCTGACGCGCACGAGGACCTCGACGCCGAGCGCGCCGCCAGGACCAAGGCAGAGAAACTGCGCAGGGACCTCAACGAGGAACTGGAGGCACTCAAGAGTGAATTGCTGGACTCGCTCGATACTACTGCTGGTAAGTTAACTTGATTTTTTGTTTGTATTGTTATTGTGTGTTTAAAGGCAACAAGGTAAAAAAACAAATTAATATAAAAGTTGTTGTAATCACTGAGATATATCTATTGCGTTAAAATGTGTGCCTAATTATATCTCCTGTTTAAAAACCGAAAAGTACACCATTAACTCACAACGCATTTGAATTTCTTACTACATTTAATTTGATTCCTCTGTCTTATCTCCCTTCCAGCCCAACAAGAACTCCGTACAAAGCGCGAGCAAGAAGTAGCAGTCCTGAAGCGCAGCCTGGAGGAGGAGGCCGCGGCCCACGAGGCCAGCCTCGCCGACCAGAGGCACAAGCACTCCCAGGAACTACAACAACTCAACGAACAACACGACCAGCTCAAGAAGACTAAGGCCGGTTAGTATAGCTTGGACCTTGGATATATTTCTTTCCACAGGTTAAAATATTTACATACTTACCTACTCCGTAGATAAGTAAGATAAGACTGAGCCAAAGTGGATGGGTTTCTAATACGAGTTTTCTCTATTTTTCGCGGTTTTTAATTACCAGCTTAACGCTGTCCACTCTTTGTGGTTACGCACTTATCTAACTTATAGGATGTATAAATCATGGTATAAATCCCAAAGACATTGAAATTCAACGTCCTTGATAAATCCAATAATCCAATCACAAGAAACAAAAGTAGGTTTACTAAACAATAACCAAAACTTCTTCAAAAATAAAACGACGCAATGACACTGACGTTCAAAACGACGAGCAAAAACAATGACAACTTCCAAATCCAAATTACATTTGTCAAATATAAAAAACGTCAAAATCTTTTCTATCAATCATCTACACGAGTCAATAAAATTATATAAAAAATATTTTAGTTTAGATATTTTAGTTTACATTATTATGTGTGATGGCGTGCGTAAAGGAGCGTAGACAGAAGAATGTAAAGTTTGGGTTGTCGAAGGATGACAACTTCGAGGTGGAGAACAATGCGTTCCCTTGCGAGCCGGGCAACTCCTTCAGCTCGGCGCGCGACTACTGGCAGCACTTGTGTCGGAGCCCGGAGTCTGACCGCAGAGCCGATGTCTCCTTAATATGTACTGGTATTATACAGTTCTCACCGACGATGTTTTATTCCGTGTCAAAGGTTGTTGACAAAGTTGAAAAGTGCGATACTCGAAATGTTTAGATACGACTGTTAAAATGATCTTTTATCTCCAGTTTGTGGGTTTGGTGGAGATCTAGTGTATATCGAAAAGTTTTATGAATATTTATGTATTGATGTTTTCAAGATGTCATTAGAAACATTTAGTTGCGACGTTAGGGTATTATATTGTTCTTGCCCTTTTAATTTCTACTTTTACGCACATTTGAGCGGTATATTCTAAGTCGTATTTATTATACCACAGCACTGGAGAAAGCCAAACAAGTATTGGAAGCCGAGAATGCGGACTTGGCGACGGAGCTGAAGAGCGCGAGTGCCGCGCGGGCCGAAGGCGAGCGACGACGGAAGCAGGCTGAGGCACAGTTACAAGAGGTTGCGGCCAAACTGCAGGATGTAGACCGTGTCAGGTACCTACTCAAATATTTACTTACATTTCCTATTAAGAACTTAATCATTATGATTTACGGCTTACCCGTATCATTTTCGATCAATTTTGAACCGCCCCGTGGGCGCCTCACAGTGGTAGTAGTATAACCGTGCGCACAGTCTATACAGTCGTCCAACGAAGACGTCTATACAGGGCAACCGTGCGGGGTGTGAAGGGCGAGACGCGGGTAGGCCGATCCCGAGCTGCGAACAAAACGAAGTTAGTAGCTCGGGATATATTATTTAGGGCTAACGCGTGTTTGTTTTAACCGATTTCAAGCAAAGAATAATTGTTTATTTTATGTATGTTAGCTGCTGCATTAATTTTTAATTTATCATCAATTTATCGTCATGGGTAGCGTTTTCATGGTTTTCGAGGATGGTGAAAATGATGGCGCTGTCAGGATTTAAATCCAAGATGGCCGCTGCACGAATTTTTTAATGAATCGTTATGGGTATCGTTTTCATGGTTTTCGAAGGTGGTAAAACCGTTGGTGTTGTCAAAATGTAAATTCAAGATGGCGGCTACACGAAATTTTCAATTTATGGTCATGGTTAATTTATGGTTTTCGAGGGTGCTGAAAATGGGTGTTGTCAAAATGCAAATCCAAGATGGCCGAGGCCCGAAATTTTTAATTTATCGTCATGGGTATCGTTGTCATAGTTTTCGAGGGTGGTGAAAATGATGGCGCTGTCAAAATCTAAATCCAAGATGGCCGCTGCACGAAATTTTTAATGAATCGTTATGGGTATCGTTGTCATGGTTTTCGAAGGTGGTAAAACCGTTGGTGTTGTCAAAATGTAAATTCAAGATGGCGGCTCCACGAAATTTTCAATTTATCGTCATGAGTGTCGTTTTCATGGTTTTCGAGGGTGCTGAAAATAGGTGTTGTCAAAATGCAAATCCAAGATGGTGATGGCGCAGTTAGAATCTAAATCCAAGATGGCGGCTGCATGACATTTTTAATTTATTGTCATGGGGGTGTTGTTTTCACGGTTTTCAAAGGTGATAAAAATGATGGTGTTGTCGAAATGTAACTCTTCAACGGTGTACAGTAACTACATCATACACATCTCATATTTTTGACAACCCTGGCCGATGCTTTACTGTCTAGAGTCTAGACAGTAACGCATCGGCCGACATCGTCTAGACTCTAGACGATGTCGGCATTTTACACGAGATCAAAGGCGTAGTCCTACTGTATATTTTTTATACTGTGACCAGGTCGGAGCTGCAGGAGAAATGCGCGCGACTGGCGAGCGAGGCCGAGGCGGCCGCCGGGCAGCTGGAGGCGGCCGAGCTCAACGCGTCCGCCGCGCACAAACACTCCGCCACGCTCGGCGCGCAGCTCGCGGAGGCACAGGTACACTGTCGCCATTACATCACATACTGACTCACTTAGGGCCGAGGCAGCTGGAGGCGGCCGACCTAAAAGTCGTTGGTTTTTAATTCGTTTGAAAAATCAGCCCTACACAGCTAATATTAAACTTTGTCATTCATTCATTGTGTGTTTCACAGGTACAGATTTCATTTCATATTTCAGAGCCACTTTCTATTTAATGGAATAAAATAAATTAACTAAATATTATATTGACAGTGGTGGAGTATTACAAAGTTTGTTCTAAATTATATTCTTGTTTATACCAGGCGCTACTAGAAGAGGAAACGAAACAAAAATTGTCTCTACAAACCAAACTGCGCAACATCGAGCAACAACTGGAGCAAGCCAGGGACCAACTCGAGGAAGAGGAGGAGGCCAAGAAGAACTTGGAGAAACAAGTGAGTAGCACACGGACTTGTTATTAGTATTAAGATATCTAGGCGAATTAAATACTATGTAACTTTTGACGAGCGCTGCGAGATCAATAAGCGACTTGAAAATATTATTATTCATGAATACTACTAAGAAAGTAATGAAGGAAGAATTAGTATTTAAGTCATATATCTATGGATCTTTTTATGGTTATGATTGTCGTCTAATTCAGAATGTATTGATGTACTCCGAAAAAAATATACTGTTATTTTTCGTACAGAAACTATTTTTGTTATAATTCCAAAATAATGAGCATGAACATGCATAAGAAATGTGATTTAGAGATTGCTTGACTGAGAGATTTAGAGTGACTGCCTCGTTGGCCGAGTGGTTGCAAGTGCGACTGCCGGTCAAGACGTCTCGGGTTCGATTCCCGGGTCGGGCAAAGTACTACTGGGTTTTTATAAATTCGCAGTAGTAGCACGGAGTCTGGAATTGTGCCCGGTATATGGCAATAGGCTCACCCCCTATTACATGGGACTCATAACATAAATAGTGAAAAGTGGGTGTTACATTGTACAGTGGCATAATGTACACCTCTGCCTACCCCTTCGGGGATAAAAGGCGTGATGTTATGTTATGTTATTTAGAGTAACTTTAGCTCAACAATATCAAAAACTATTTCGCTATTCAGTTTTAATTTAAACAATCAATTTATATGATTCAGGTAACAGCGTTGACCCAACAAGTGGCGGACGCTAAAAAGAAGGCGGAGGAAGAAGCAGAAAACGCGGCCGCTCTCGAGGAACAACGCAAGAAGCTCAGCAAGGATGTCGAGGCACTACATCGACAGATTGACGAGCTGCAACAGGCTAACGACAAGCTTGATAAGAGTTAGTAGACATTCTCTTACTAACATTACGATCATTAAAATAGTTTCTTCAACAAGTCAAAGGAAAATACCAAAAAATGTATAGAACATAAACCCAGAATCGATTAAAATTTATATCTGGCAAAGTACAATACATAGTACATCCCAAATTCAATAATTGATTTCGATTCAATCACCACCAAATAATAAAAAACGTAACCAGTTTATCATGATCTTTTTTATGTGATAAACCGGTAAACTAGCAGACGGAGCACTTGATGGTAAGCAATCGGCGCCGCCCATGGACACCCGGAACACCAGAGGCGTTACAAGTGCGTCACCGTTTGGGGATTAGGAATTTAAGGATTGTTGGAGATTCAGGGACATTAGTATTAGGGGTGATGGGGGTCTTAATTTGTGTAATTATTTTTTATATAAAACTTTTCTTTAGGTAAAAAGAAGATCCAGGCGGAATTGGAAGACACGAACATTGACCTGGAGGCCCAGAGAGCCAAGGTTATGGAGCTCGAGAAGAAACAGAAGAGCTTTGATAAGGTACAGTATATGGAAACTTGTAACTTATTCTTAATACTACTGAGAAGGAAACGTGAGTTTGACCCCGGGTTAGATCACTGATTATGTGTTTCTCTTTAGGATGATACTCTAGCTCGTTCTTCTTCATATCAATCCACTCTTTGGAGTGGAAAACCTTCTCGCTTTCTTAATAGCTTGACGGAAAACTTTATTTCGATGTTTCTTTTAATTGAATGGTGTTTTATTCCAGGTGGTATCAGAAGAGCGTGCAATAGCAGAGCGTTACGCGGCGGAACGTGACGCGGCTGAAAGGGACGCCCGGGACAAGGAGACACGCGTACTCTCACTCACTAGGGAACTTGACACTGCTGCAGAGAAGGTAACTATACTCATCTGGTACATTTACAATATATTTGAGATATTCTCTTGTTGGTACTTTTTGCTGATAAATCCAAAATCATTGTTGTAGTTACGTTAAGTTATTCAAAAACCTGCACAAAATCAGGACTGGAAAAATAATAGTACATTTGTTCCACATAATTTGACAAGTACATCTTTATGAAAATTGTATCAGTATTTAATCACACACATTTCGTTACCTAGGTCGAAGAACTAGAACGCACAAAACGCCTCCTGCAATCAGAGCTAGATGAGCTAGCCAACACGCAAGGCACCGCGGACAAGAACGTCCACGAGCTGGAGAAGGCCAAGCGAGCCCTGGAGTCACAAGTAGCTGAACTGAAGGCACAGAACGAGGAGATCGAGGACGACCTGCAAATCACTGAGGACGCTAAACTACGCCTCGAAGTCAACATGCAGGCTATGCGAGCTCAGTTCGAAAGGGACCTTCAGGTTTGTATTTTGTTCCTCTATTATCTACTAACTATATTGAGCAATTCTAGTAAATCACTTATTAGATATTTGACTAGTTTCTCGTCACTTCAGGACACTACTGCTAGATCAGTTAGATAAATACTATTTAACTAAAATTACGACATTTATTTTATGGGGAATCTAGTAAAATATTTGTTTAGTAGTTGATACACAAAGGGTGATAGTTGTATTAAACCGTATGTTCCTTTGTCTTCCAGGCTAAGGAGGAACAGGGCGAGGAGAAGCGGCGCGGTATAGTGAAGCAGCTGCGAGACCTGGAGGCAGAGCTGGACGACGAGCGCAAGCAGCGCGCTGCAGTGCTCGCCATGAGGAAGAAACTTGACGCAGACCTCAAGGACGCTGAACAGGCACTGCATCTCGCCAACAAGGTAACATTTTATTTGTGTTATTTGTGTTACAATAAACTTTTTGAGTGCCACGGTCTGCTATAGACGAGAAAAATTGGGTCAATTCGTCTTTGTCGGTCATACAGTCGATAGGGATCTTGTAAGTAAGTACATTTTGTTTGTCGTCTACTTATGGCCAACTCTAGAGTTCAAAGGTTTACTACTGTTGTTATAGTCAATCTGATATTTAGATTACAATAAGTTCGTCAACATGACACGCAACTTGTGTTCTGTCGTTAGCTTATGTAATAAATTTTACATAGAGAATATTGTGAAATTAGTTTTTGTTGAATATCGACGTGCGCCTTATTGATCGTATCTTGTGTTCCGTGACAGGTGAAAGAAGACGCAGCCAAGCAAGTGAAGAAGTTGCAGCAGCAGTTGAAGGAGGCCGCGCGCGAGGCCGAGGAGGCCCGCGCCGGGCGGGAGGAGGCCGCCGCCGCCGCCAGGGAGGCCGAGCGACGCGGCAAGGCGCTGGAGGCCGAGGCACTCGCGCACGCCGAGGAACTCGCCGCCGCAGACCGCGCGCGCCGCCAGGCCGAGGCCGAGAGGGACGACCTGCTCGACGAGCTCAATAACTCCTCCTCCAAGGTACACTACATACACAGCGCTACACTTCTGTCCTACTGAGTTGTTTCCCTCCCTGCTGAGGATCGTGACACTAGATATCGCCACCTATTTTGTTACGGCACTACTCTACACTACACATATTGAAACTCATGCTAACTGAACATGTCTTTAACAAAATTATTATCATCTCAGATTGGTTCTTTAACATCATTATTCATAAACTACAACCTATCTAAAGTAGCAAGTTTATACAAATTAAAATATTTACCAACGATATCCATACAATAAGCTACAATATTGCCTACAAGAGTAATCTCTTCTGGTTTCCTAGATGACGTAAATCATGTATCGATATGAGTTTATAACTAAAATGTTAATTTGCAGAGTACACTTCTCATCGACGAGAAGAAGCGACTGGAGGCACGGATAGCAGCGCTCGAGGAGGACCTGGATGAGGAACAGTCCAATAATGAAATCCTCAACGACAGGCTTCGGAAATCACAGGTATACTAGCAGTACATTGTGGATATATTTAAAAGTATACTTTACAAATCGTATTTACCTACATCGTAGTGGAAAATTATAACATAACAACATTTACGCCTTTTTATCCCCGAAGGGCCCTACAGGTGCACATTACGGCACTTAATGCCACTGTACAATCCCATTTTAGTTATGAATCCCATGTAATAGGGAGTGAGTCTGTTGCCATATACCGGGCAGAATTCCAGTCTCCGTGCTTTTTGAAAAAAAACAAGTCGTACTTTGCCCGACCAGAGAATCAACCCGAGACTCCTTGCCCGGCAGTTGCACTTGCGACCCCTCGGCCAACGAGACAGTGGAAAGTTATATATGTCGTAGGATAATTTGATACTTCGAATCTTCGCGGAAATCCTAGGGGTTTTGCGAAAACGCGGATAATTAGACATAGGCGAAAAATTATCAAATCTTACTGGACAAAGTCAGGATTTTTGCGAAAATACTCTTTACTATTAGTAAGATTGCGAAACGAAACGCTGGCTGTTATGAAATAAGAACGCTGATTGGTCGGTCAGCGCGTTCAATAAGATATCGTCTCTGATTGGTCTTAAATGTTTTTTCGTCGTCTTAAACGACCAGTTTCATCCAATTTATGGATTACTCCCTAAAATTGGATCATTTTTTTTTACTACGACTGAGATTTTCTATTGTCTGTAGAAAACAACATATATACTAAAATTTTCAATAAAAGGTTTATAAAAATCAATTTAGTGATTTTTCTTTCTCACCTATTCTAAACCTTCATAACTCTATGATATAATACTTGAAGTTAATCATCGGCAAACTAGGAACCAATTAGAAGTCAGCCAGCAAAATTGTAGCCAATCAGTGTTGAGCACATCAAATCTTACTATAGTAACGAGTATTTTCGCAAAAATCCTGACTATGTCCAGTAAGATTTGATAATTTTTCGCCTATATCTAATTATCCGCGTTTTCGCAAAACCCCTAGGATTTCCGCGAAGATTCGAAGTATCAAATTATCCTACGACATATACAAGGAATAGAATATAATAAAATAATGTCAGCCATTATTCTAAACTGTAATTTATACGGATCTTTATGATGCACCTGCATGAGAATCGTCCATGTACACAATGTTTGACAATTACAGTAAATTAATATACTTTTTTGCTTCTAGTACACATGCAAAACTTAAATTGTATCTTTTCTGACAGAATCAAATCGACCAACTTACAATGGAACTGGGCACAGAGAAGTCAGCCACGCAGAAACTGGAGAGCGGCAAGTTAGTACTGGAACGGCAAAACAAGGAACTCAAGGCCAAGCTCGCAGAGCTGGAGACTGCCGCCAGGACCAAGACCAAGGTAAGGAAACCAGCTGTCGGCATCAAGGGACGACGTAATCTATCGTAGACCGCATCATCTCTCTTACCAACAGGCGAGATAGTGATCATACGTCGGCCCATCAAATACATTTAAAAAAAAAAACAGCCCGACCGCGTCTCCTCTATTATATATGGCCTGCGTAAATGGGAGGTTACATTCAATATCTATATCTCTGTCCTATCTGTTCAAAGAGTCGAGGCATAGTCCCGTGTTATTTATAAAGTAATTCTGACACCATACCTCATTATTGTTCTGAGGTGGGCTATTGTTTTTGTTTCGTCTCCAGAGTCTTTAACTTTTAACAATAAACCTTTGTTTTCAAGTTGTTTTAGCCATAATTAAATAGATAGCCAAATACTGCAAACGTCCAATGACTTGAATTGAGTAAATAAATCTATTTGAAGAAGAATGATATCAGAAACTTCATCAAAAATTAAAGGTTTTTTATACATGAAACATGGTTAGTGATTATTTTTCGTATTACCAGGGCGTGATAACTTCCCTGGAGCTGAAGGTGGCTAACCTGGAGGAGCAGTTGGAGGCAGAGTCCCGCGAGCGACTGGCGCAACAGAAGGCTTCGCGCAAGTTGGACAAGAAGATGAAGGAACTCGCGCTGCAACTGGACGAGGAGAGAAGGCATGCTGACCAGTACAAGGAACAGATTGAGAAGGTAAGTCCTGACATATTAATTCTTCGTCATCAGTGTGAAGACATTCGTTGAAGGCCTTGTTACAAAAATAAGTAGTGCCACCTGATTCTCGGTGACTATTTTTCTTTGATATTTCTATTGTATTTACGTGCAAATGTTTTGAGAATTAGTGCCAATATGTGTCATAAAGAGTGAGATAATTTGTAGATTGACCATATTTTACCACCATATTGTATAAAATATAGCAACAGTTTGTGGGGGGGCATTAGGCTTAGTAGATGCTTTATCAAATTAGATTACAAATTAAGAAGGACGCGTAAAAAGATAGTTACTAACGGCAATGAATTGCATTCTAGATGAACGTCCGCGTGAAGGCACTGAAGCGTCAACTAGACGAGGTGGAGGAGGAGGTGCAGCGCGAGAAGGTCGGGAAACGGAAGGCGCAGAGAGAACTCGAAGACATGCTCGAGACACACGAGACTCTCACGAGGGAGTGCAACAACCTGCGCAATAAGCTCAGGTAAATAATATAATTTATTGTTTCTGGCCTTCTGTACTAATTTAGCTTTTTTCCAGACTTAGCCAGCTGACGTCTCCAGTGCAAGTTTTGAAAGTACTTCTACATGTACAGCCTAAATGAATATGTTTGGAAGAACATGTTCTTTTTTATATATACAACTATCTAATTGTGCCTAGACATTGTATATTCCTCTCTCTAGGGATATTACAAGTAACTCCTAGATTGCCTTTGTAAACTAACTTTCTTTGTGCATATCCTGATTAACATGGACATGTCCGTCTCAGTACACAGATGTATGTGTTGTATTATATTTCCGTTAGGCCGTCGTTTGCTGATGACGAAACTACTAGCGAGTGGGGGAGTGAGTAAGACGAACTACGAGCGAGCGACTAGCGCAGGTATACTGGCTACTAAACTCAGCCGGGAATAAACCCGGGACTAATGGGCTCGCTCGCATTGGACGATACATGTGGAATGGGAACTACTGCTTTTATTGACAGTTACTGATCGTCATGCTTGTTCTTCACTCTCAGTCATCGAATGAACGAATGATATTCATATCACTCAACGATAAAACTTCATTCATTATTGTGCTGTTGTTTTTAGGAATTTTATCAAAATTCCTTTTCGATTGGTTTTGTAAATGTTGGTTTTGAGTAGGGGAACCAGCGCATCTATGGTCGAGAGTAGCGTGGGTCGTCGCTTGGAATAACTGTGTTCATTGTGTCGTCCGGTTTTGATGTGTGTTACTTATGGAACTGAGAATGTTTGGCGCTATATTAATTGTAACATGAATTAAGTTGTCATCATCTGTAGCAATAATAAGTATGCGTGATGTCCCCAGACGGCAGGGCGGCGGCATCGGTCTGTCGGGCGCGTCGTCGTCGTCCCGCATGAAGCGCACGTCGCTGGCGCCGGGCGCGGGCTCGGGAGACGAGTCCTTCGACGACGTCAACGACACCACCAACAGCGTCGAGTAACTCCACACTCGTCACGTCACGTCACGGAACGCTCGCCACTACACGACTCAACCGTCACGTTGATGTACAGACGTGTGACGTTCGCAATAACTTAGTATCTGATCCGAGCGCCGCAGTACATCGTTCCAAGTGATGTACTACGGCGCTCGGGCAGTGTCGAGCGAGGCCCGGTGACGTCACGCTACGACCGCGTAACACTACATGTAATAGCACATGTGAGGTAATGTCTTCTCTCACTATTTTATTCGGGTCGTTGTATATCCATCACAAAGTAAATTCATCACAAAATATGTGTAAATTCGACACCATTCTAAGTTATGTAATACATTTCCAGAATATAAAATTTGGTTACTGTGAATTCGTCACAGTGCCTTATTTCGTAAGGATAGCAGAAAATTGTAACCATGATAAGAATCAATTAATTAATTACATTATCCTTCTATCGCACCCAGACGAATGACACCTTAACGAATCTCGCTTGAAGTATTCCACCCATTTCACCCATAGGTGCGATTTGTTTAAAAGAAAAACTGGCAAAAATTACATAAAAGCAAAGGTTTGTGACCAATCTACAACAACTCTTACTTACCTGTGACGAGTTTATGTATATTTTAGCACACGTGACGAATTTATTTTGTGACGAATTTGCAACAACCCTTTTTCAAGTATTCTAAACTGTCGTCCAAATGCACGCGTTCTATGTACAACAATAATCCAATGAAGTCAGTTCCAAACTGAGCGCTGGAGTGTTGCGGTACACCCACTCAAGCTAACAGCTCGAGGGGTAGGCAGGAATATTATCAATATGCCACACATATTGCTAATATTTTGTTTTATACAATGAACTATGTCAAACGTGATTAACATCAGTTTAGTGACTATTTGACTTTAGGCTAAGTAGTTATTTTTGAAATTTTATTGTTATTTCTTTATAACTGTTCTATCTTTGTCGACGTACTTAATTACCGGAGAATACATTTGTTCATATGATGCTCTTACATGTAGCTCTAGTATATTACAATCGTATTTTTGTATATAAATCTTGGGTGAGGCATGATGGTATTGTAAAGCCGTGTCAGATTGAACTAGCCAGGATGCGATGTAGGAGTTGTACATTATCGATACAAACTTACGATTGTATGCGTGTGGCCCTCGAGTCAATGTAAATCGAGTTAATGTATGGATATAGCGAACAGCTGAGAACGCATAGGCTTTTGTATCTAATATACGTTTTCTTTCATTGTATAATATTATTATATATTATGTACGTGAAATTTTAATATCATTATGAAATATTTTGAGTACATTTTTTCAGTTTTAGATGTATGAATATGTACGCTAATTTATATGTCAATATAATAGTTTTACAAATGCATGAAAAATGAAGGAGTAGTATATTCGTTCCGAGTTACAGGCCGCGCACCGCGAGCAACCTATGGCGTACAGGTTCCTACGTCTAGAACTACCACGCGGGTGCTCAATTTACACTAAACAAATACTGCATTTAAACAGTCGAATCTCTCAACACAATAGCAATTGGTGATAATACCCATCCCAGTATTAAACTATACATTCCTAACAATCGAGATTTTCATTTTGCCCGGACGGGTAGATTGTTAAATTACTCATTGGGTGATATTTGTAATGAAATTTTTTAAAGTATTATTAAAATGTGGCAAAATATTACTTATTCTGATTGCATTTAAACGCGACTGAGTAACCAAGACTGTTGTTGCGATATCTGACTCCCCCTCCATTGTCAATCGTACCGTTTGCGAGATCTACCGCGTCACCGCCGAGCACACTCCGTCACCACTACCAATACCACTGCACCGCCACTGCACCGCCACTACACCGCCACACTCGTGTCTCCGTCGAGTGTGCTCGGTGCTCGACACCTACAATGTAAATATATCAGTGTGCGTCACTGAGCGCTTAGTTGCCATACAAATTTTAATGATAGTTATAAGTAAACATGTGAGCTTTCATGTAATGGGGTGTGACGCCGTGCTCGACGTAAACTTAGTTGACTTAACCATACACTTGCAGTCGGCTCAGTTTTTTGAAAATAACATTGAGCACAAAATATAATAATTTTGAATGAAGCAAAATAGAAATATTTGTGCAAAGCAGTCTCGCTCAAAGTTCTGAGCTGTATCGATAGAGTGCAATGCGCGAGCGAGGCGGCGTAACGCCCCGTGTTAGTGTTACAACAATGTGTCGTACATCCCGCAGCATGTTGAATGTAAATACACCGAGCAGGTGGTGTCATGTAAATTTGTTTACATAAATACAAAACGGTATTATTTGTGTCTGCAGGCGAGGGTTTGCGCTAGAACGGCTTGCTCTTATACACTTAGGTAAGACTCGTAGTAATAAATTGTGGCCTTAAGTTTTGTTTATTGTCGACTTAATACGTAAAATGGAATGGAATTGTCTCTTGTAACAGAGGCCTAACTTGTATCGTGCGAGCATTTTTTATCATTATTTACCAAGAGTCTTCATGACCACTTTTTTTTATTCATTATTATAGTTTCCCGAATAATAATATAAAATTTAAATGTAAGTAAACATTGAAGCATAAACTTATTTTACATAAATATTATATTTAATTATTAACAATATTGATAATTGTAAAATTGGCCATAGGTTGTAACAAGTTATCAGTGTTGGCATGCCAATTAAACAATTTTTCATGATTTTTATATTATTTGTTTTATTTCAACCCACATCAACCTTTTGTACAAATAGACTGCCAAAACGGTATTTGAGGTATTTCAGAAGTTTTTTCAACAAACAAACTCAAACAGATCAAAGTGGTACCAAAAAATAGGGCTGTAATCAAAGAGTATAATAAGTATAGGGGTTAGCTGTAGCCCTATAGCCCTATATCCACAGGTATACCTGAGTGGATATCGGGACCTGAGATCTGTTAAAATTTAGTTATTCATGCGCAATGTAACGTGATTTCGATTCTCGCACCGACCTATAAAATACGAAATTCACTATCTCAAGCTTTGGCTTGAGATAGTGATTGTGAATTGTCCCTCAATCAGCAAGAATGTCTAGGCCAACGAAAGCTGTCCAAAAAAATTTCGTCAATATGAAAAATATTGAGTAACTTATTTAAATATCAAGACCGTTTTAGTTTTCAGCAGTGGTCTGTTAGCTGTTAAACCTGCTGATTTTTTTATAGGGTCCATTTTTTGGACAGCTTTCGTTGGCTAGATTCTATGTTATAAAGACGAATACTGAAAATTATTAGATTTTGAAAAATTGCAAGACTTTGAAGCCATGTCTAATAAAATCGGTCCTACTAGAACTACTGTCGTCAAAAACGATCAGTATTCATTTTCACCCTACCCTGTCCCACTGTCCCTCATTTAGCAAACATGTATTTCCAAGGCAGTATTCAAATGCCATTATTTTTAGTTGTAAACCAGAAGGTGCACCTCTAACCGAGTTCTGAACACAAGTTTCGAATCTAATTTGAATGAATTGATCAAAACTGTCAGTGTCAAGGCGCGAATTTGACACTAACAGTGTCAAAAGACAATGTCATTGTCAGTTCAGTCAGACATGCTGTCAGATGAGAAGTCGAACCTGTCGAACTACTCAGTGAATAGGTACGGCTGTTTAGCTTATTTTTCTGTTATTAACCACTTCTGTCAGAATTATCGGAAAACTTTTACCGTGTTACATTCGCCTTCCCCTACGAGTTGCCCAACGAAATCTTTCATTCAAAATGGATAAAGTAGACGAATATTTCGATGTCGCCTTATCACTGGTTAAATCTGCAGGAAACCTTATAAGCGAACATGTAAACGGATGTAAAGTGTTTGAGAAGAAGTCCTGTGATATTGACCTTGTTACCGAAATAGATAAGAAGGTCGAGGAAACACTTATTGTCGGTTTATCCAAAAAATTTCCAACGCACAAGTTTATTGGTGAGGAATCGGTTTCTGGTGGAGCGAAGTGCGAGCTGACTGACGCTCCTACTTGGATCATTGACCCAGTGGATGGTACACTCAACTTTATTCACGGTTTTCCTCTGTGTTGCATATCAGTTGGTCTCGCGATCAACAAGGAGTGTGTTGCTGGTATTATTTACAACCCTAACTTGGGTCAGCTGTTTACTGCCAAGAAGGGTCAGGGAGCATTCTTGAACGGCAGACAGATACATGTATCCCAAGTGACTGAGCTGCGCAATGCTTTAGTTGCTTTTGAAGCTGGCACAAGTCGAGATGAAGAGAGATGTAGAATTGTTTTTGAGAATTACAAACTTGTGGTGAATAATGGCCATGGTTTGCGTTCACTGGGCTCTGCTGCATTGAATATGGCGATGGTGGCTATGGGTGGGGCTGATGCCAACTTTGAATTTGGAATCCATGCTTGGGATATTGCTGCGGGAGATATTTTGGTAAGAGAGGCTGGAGGAGTCTGTATAGACCCTGCTGGTGGACCTCTGGACCTGTTATCACGCCGAGTACTCTGTACTAGCACTCCTGAGTTGGCTCAGGAGCTGTCCAAGACCCTGGTGCAGTTCTACCCAGAGAGGGACTAAGTAAATTAAAAGTATACATGTATAATTTGTGATTTGTGTATGTATGTTCAAACAACGTAGCTGTAAAATGTAATCTTTAATGATAACCTGTCTACGATGGATACCTGATGGAAGTACCTACTTAAGTAAAATATTATATTACTAACATGGTGGAGTAATGTACTTAATTAATCCTAACATCTATTGTGATCAAGGCACACCTGTGATTTGTTTTCATTCTCAGTATGTTGTATCAGGCCTTTTAATTCTTGAATCCAGTGTCTGGTGTCTTATGTTGGGCACATAATATTATAATCAATGTGTTTTGTGATATAACTCCTAAACTACAATAATAATATAACTCCTATAAGCTTTCAGAATTTTTGCTGAGAATTTTCCTGTTTTAAAACTAACAAAATTTTGCTGCCAAAGATGACTTATTTTACAAAGATTTTAAAATTAAAACAAATTATTAGGTTATTTTTCAATTATTTTATTCACATTGTAATGTTATTGTTATAAGGAAAAGTATACTATATACCTATTAAAATTATAATGAAAAATATATTTCATTCGGAAATTAATTAGTCATTTGTACTTATTACATGTTTATAGTAGAAATTATTATGCCAGTAAGTGGTTATTTCAGACTATAATCCTAGTAATTACATACATCTGATAAATATTTATGATCAAATTGAATGCCAAACTAAATTATGTGATTGTGTTTAGTGATGTAAAAAAATAATATACCCAGTACTTACTGAGTTTCCCAAAAGTAATTTCGAGTGTACTATTAACTTAATAGATACAATTTTTACTATGACAATGTTACAATAAATTAAAAATATTTATTCAACTATTACAAAACTATAGGTAATTAAAAATAAACTTTAAGTTTAAAATCAAACAGTCTTTAGTCGTATTTAGCAAATATTATTATGTCAGTCATATCGTCATACTTAAATAACTTGTCATGACGAGATCTAAGTTATAAAAATGTCACAGTCATTGTTATTGTCATAAAAAATCCTTTTATGTACCTACTTATAAGTGAAATAATAAATGAAATTTATTTTGTTCATCAAGTCGTTATTATTTTTAATTCGAAGTCTAGTTTACAGTAATTGTCCGTCAGTCATTATGACTTGTCATTGTCAATATTCTTATTTCTGAAGTCATGTTATAGCGTAATAGTCATTTGGTGTCTATACCATTGCATATCAACGTCTAGTTTTGTCGTTTAGTTTTAGTCAAGTCAGTCAGCCTGTCAGCCACTCAGTCAGATAGACAATCAGTCAATAATTTATTAGTGTCAGTCAGTGTTCATGTAGTCAAGTCAGTTCTAATTCTGTTCAGTCAGTTCTAATTCAGTTCTAATTACACATATCGACCTTTGTAGGGTTCGTTGGTACAGTCATAGTCAGCCCATAAAAGTCAATCTATTGTCATTTGAATAGTCAAGTCTTAAGTCACATTATCATATTATTGTATAGAGCAAGTACCTGCTAAAAACATCCATATCCTCATTGCCTCTCCCATTTACAGTAATTATTTTGAATTTATGTTTATAAAATTAAGTTACATTAATATTTTGTCAGTCAGTTACTAAAAATGTCAGTCAATTATAGTCAGTCGTGTCACATATTTCGTATTCGTCTTTGAGAGCAGGTGTCAGTCAAATTTAGTATTACGGTAGCAGGTACTTAGTTCTATTGAAGTTCATTAAATATTTTCAGTCTAAGTCCAGTCATTGTATTTCACATTTTTCAATTTAGTGACCCAATCGTCAATCGATTTGTTATTTATGATGTCTTTAACTCTTTATATTAATTAGGGGAAAAATTGTCCAAAGTCGTATAAGTCTCATTCTAAGTTGTTATTTACCCTCGGTTAAACAAATTTATATTTTAACTATAAATCGCAGGTTACTCACGTGAATATACTGAGAAAAGCTCTACTAGTTACAGCTACTACAGCCTACAGTGTAGGCTGCGCAACATCGCCGCGACCGCGCACACTTCTCATGCAAGAGGAAGAACCCCTCTGTAGTTCGAAACTAGTAGAGCTTTTCTCAGTATATTCACGTGAGTAAACCGCGATTTTTAGTTAATTTAGTGTCTTACGATAGTTATTATAAAAACAAATTTATATTTCACTAAATACTTAAAAATACCCAGTTGATAAGATTGTAGATAAGTCAGTCCACGAAACTAAGCAGTCATGTTTACTAAAAATATCGCAGCATGATACCTAAATATTTAATGTCATCAATATGATCATTATTGCATCACATTTTGATTTAGTTTGTCCACCAAGTCAAGGTAGGTACTTAGATATCCAAATAAGTAGGTACATATTATTGTTACGAGTCCTTGAGTCCGTCTATTATTACAAGTCATGTTATCGAGTCATAGTCGTCATTAGTCAGTCATTTTACAATAAGTCATGTTCAAAAACAAATCTTTCACCCTACATGGCTACTTAGCACTTTCTGTCATGAATAGGGGATCGAAAAAGTAACTACTATGAGTGTTTCTAAAAATTTGACACCACCAGCTTGCTTGACTACCCGGCACATTGTAAAAATATTTTTTTGGGTCTTATCCGATCCCCTATTACACATTTTTACTTAACATCTCGGTTAATTATCATTTATTCTCATCTAAAACTAGCTTCAATTTAGAATTGCCTATTAAAATATCACGTACCAACAGGGATGACGCCTGTTCATTAATCAAAAAATTTAAATTGTTACTACGATGTCCTTACATCTATTAGGGTTAGGCAAGATTATCTAAAGCTGCTATTGTTCTCATGGTCTTCCGATGCCCGGTCTTCGTCTTCTGAAACTGTTGAAGGCGATAGGCGTTGGTATTTCCTTGAGAGCATAAGGATCTGTCTTAATTGCCGGCATTTTATGCTGCTCGGGTAGGTCAGAATTTTCTTCGTAGACCGCCCAATGGGAGGCACTGCAATAAAAATGTTGGTTCATCATGTATCATATAATATATAAACGTTAATGACAATAACGAATAAGAAAATCTTAGTGTTAAATACTGAATGTTAAATACGTGAGTAAGTCTAAGACCTTGGGTGGTCGGCAGTAATGACTAGTAGCACGGTCTAATCAGTAATTAAATTTGATTGCACGAAGCAAACTAATTACACAATGCACTTGAAATGATATTGATATTATGATAATGAGGAAGAGAGATGCATATCGATATGTTATTTAAACATCGCATTTACTAAGGTAGACACTAGTTGTACCTATTGAGCATCAGTTTATTAGATCAAAGATACACCATACACCATTAGACCTTGGGTTAAATGTCGATGTTTGGATGTTCAGCAGTAATTCAGTACATTTTAAAATATGCATTTTCAAACTCACCTGTTCTCACTTGGAATGACTTGGAAAGCCACTGATGGAGTTTTCGCTGGGCTTGAACTTGGTTTTATTCTGTTTTTAAGCTTTTCCTGCGCTTTAGATTTTACTTCAACCTCGTCCAATGAAGCCATCTTGTCAACAGCTGACCTTTCTTCTATTTTCTGATTGTCAGGTTTGTTGTATGTATTGTGATTAACTTCTTTCTTCTCATCTTTGTTGTTAGGTCTTGGAGTACTTTTGTCATCGTCATAGTATTTGTGTAATACGTTCCTTATGTAATAGTATTTATTTGTCTGTATCGGCACTTCATCATTCCGTCTTGTCGGTCTTTGTAAGTAAGGTTTTGTTGCAGTCTCATAAACGTAAAACGTCGAAAGTTTCATGTTTTTATCTTCATTAACGTCAAAAGTCGAGAAGTCTTTACTAATAGTCTCAGCTTTATGTCTGTCAGTCACATCTTTCTCAGTTATATCTTTAGCAGCAATATGTTTGTCAGTCATCTTTTTTTCAGTCGTACTAGCTTCACCCTTGTAAGTCCCTACGTAACCAAACGTCACTAGTTTGTATAAGTCAGTCGTGGTTTCAGTTTTAGCGTCTGGTTTGTCAGTCACTTTGTCTCTTGGAGTCACAGTCTCGTCATTAGATCTAGCAGATGAAGGATAGTTATACTTAGTAGTGTGTGTCGGTCTGTTGTACCTGTAGTTATTTTGTTGAGTGTCTTGTCTGTTGTAGTAGTAAGGTTTATTTGGTCGTCTATAAGTATCGTCGTAAGTCTGGTATGTCACTTTGACTACATCTCTGTCAGTCATGGGTCGTCCTGTAGTGTGTCGTCTAGTCGACTGTCGCCAAGACTCAGTTGGTCTCGGCACATAGTTTATCAAGTAAGTGTATTTGTCAATGTTCTCAGTCACCGTAATCACTGGTCGACGGTTAGGTCTATTGTATTGTGGTCTTTTATGCGCAACGTTATTTATAACAACTGATTGCACTTGTTGAGTGTCTTCGTCGTCATAGTCATATTCGTCATACTTGTTAGCAGGTCTACGTCTAGAGTCCATTTTAAAGTCATCAAAACGTCGGCTTTTGTTTTTGAAGTCAAGTTTATCATCAATCTGTACGTCCCGTCTAGTCACGGTGGGTTTAGTTGTCATGTTAGGTTTAGTCGTAGTAGTCACGTCTTTAGTCAAAGTCAAAGTCAAGTTAAGTTCGTCACTGTCGTTGTCTTTCTTTAGGTCAGTTAGGTCAAGTTTGTTAGTCAAGTTTTCTTTAGTCAAATTTTCAATCGTCATGTTTTTGATAGTTGTGGAATTATTGTCAGGTTTCTTTTTGTTAGGTTTTAAGGCACCTTTTGGAGCTGTCCTTTTAGTAGTCGAAGGTTTAGATGTAGTTGTGGTTTTCCTTACGTGTTTGGGAGTAGTCTCTTCAGATTTGCTTATGTCATTGTCAGATTCAGCGTCTTGATCTATTTCGACCCAGGGAGATAAGTCAAAGTTATTTAGCAGTCCGTTCTGGCAGGATATCCTGTCATTGTCAGGGTTGTCAGTTGAGAGGAAAACGAACGGCTGTACTGTCTCTATGCTGTCTAAAGTCCTGCAGAGAATTTGTGCGAAGGAGATTCTGCGAATTTGTTGGAGTTGCGCTGGCGTGAACGATGATTCAAACCCTCCGTTTTCGTACCTGGAAGTAACAGTAAAATAGGTATCCAAAGTATATCACAAGTAGATACTAGGTAGGCGTAACTGGTTTGTACGGTGCCTTGGTTTAAAATTCTTATTACTTAAACTCGACTTACCAAAAACGATCTCCTTTCCTAAGGTTGCCGAACTGCTGTGCTATGATGCAGGCAAATGTTGGTCCCACGAGACCTCCAACTACTGGTCTCTCTGCCATACCCGCAGTAAATAGGTCTATATCATCTACGTGCCTGGGAAATTACATGATAGTTTAAATTGGAATCTAGTTGTATCATGAGACCTTTTTGGAGTATGGTTTACTTACCTATACAGTGCCTTCATCTTCCTTGCGGCCCTGGCTGGCATCACTCGAAGTAAGTCCTCAAAATCTTCAATAGCGGACAACCCACAAGGTTCCCTCCACGACGTGTACGGAGGCACTCCATGGTCCCTTCCCCTCTGAATGTTAATAGCCGCGAGGTCCATTCCGAAGTCGAAATGAGGAGTTTGGAAGAGGTGGTTGGTGAGCTCTCCCGTAATGAATTCGTCGCGTTTTTGTATCGGCTGGTTCAGCATACCGAGGAGAAGACGGTCTACTGCTCCGATGGACCAGATGTTTGAAGGGTTTGTTAGTTCGTCGTGAAGAGAAACATCTAAGAAATTAACATTCATAAGTTGTCATGTCATCAATAGTAACGTGGAACTTGATGATAAAAATAATCTTTTACAATTTACTGATCAAAAAAAACATACGACAAATCTGTAGATAGCTTAACTGTACGATAAAATCTTAAGTCTGTTTTTCATTTTTAACAAAGATAATATTTTAGGTACTCACTGTTACTCATGGGCCTATGGAACCTGTCAAAGCGTACCATGGAAGACTGCACGAGGCTGTGGCCGAACCTGAAGGCTGCTGAACCAAACGAGCTGGCTGGACTAGCGTTGATCTTAGGGTTGTAACCCTTGTAATATCCCTTCTTCTGTAATTCCAGCTCAAAGCGATGCATCACCTCGGACCCTGGGAAGGATTGTTTCAAATAAGCAGTATTTTAGATATAGGTAGGTAGGTAATGATGTTGATCGTAGAAGGCGTCAAGGAGGTAACCACCTTGATGCCTAACACGCCGAAATCCCGCCTGCATAAACTTCAGGCGGACCTTTGGGGCCACGGGTGCGTAGAGTGGGGACTCTAGGTGCCCACCTTGTGGTCTCAGGGAAGACGGTGGCACAGTGGTCACGTGCTGCCGTAGACAGCAAGGCTTAAAGGAGACACCCGTCTCCCTAGGGATGTGTCGTAACAGGCGTTGCACCGTGGAGGCGCCGGAGCAGGTCTCTTATAGAGGACCCGGTGCCTTCATTCAGGTGTTGAGGGTGGCCACCGGGGTGGTTTTAGTGAGGTAAAAATCCCACACTCCCTAGTCTTTTATCCCCAAAAAGGCTAGGCGCCTTTTGAAGGTTTCCCCCCGTCATCAAAAAAAAAAAAAAAAAAAAAGGTAATGATGTTGAGTGATTTTTAGATTTTCCTGTCACATATTTTAATATATAAGAGAAATAAGCGCAATGGAACCCTAAGCAAAATTTTTCTAGGGAATTTCTACCTCCTCGCCTCCTAATTACTAAAATGGATTATCTCCACATTGGAATGTTTCCAACTCACCGAGCACTATAGGCAGGAATTCTCTATAAGTAATGTGCTGTATCATGGCTCCCACAATCTTGCGCGTCTCCTGATAGATCTTCTCGTCACTCCAGTGTGGGTTCAGGTGTGTCAGCTCTTGAGCCATTCTGAAAGGAAGGGACGTAATTGATTTATTGAAGGCTTTGTGTGCAAGGCACCATGGAAATTTTAAGGAGGAATAAGGGCAGACCAGGTTTTAGAACACGGTAGAATGAAAATTGAGTAATACACTGAAAGAAGTTTTAAGTTCTTGGTTTACTGATCCGTGAACTGTTTATTTCTGGATCATATTGTGAGCAAAATCTCTGAGTTCCTTACAATAAATACTGTTTCTTTTCTTTACCTGTTATGTTGCCTCAGCCACACGATATGAGCGGCCACTAGTCCTGGGTGCTCGTTGACCCTGGCGTCTCCAGACTTGAAGCAGTCAGTGGACACAGCCCCCTTACGGCAGAGCTCGTCGCGTCGCTCCGGTGGAAGAACTGGCCGACGTTGCTGAACCCTTCCGTATTGGAGCATGCCTGATAGAAATAAAAGAAGATTTGAGATAAACATCTATATCTTTGTGGTGCTTTTGTGTAATAAAGAAAAAGGTTTTGAGAATTAAATTATAGCGCTGAGAACAAAGAAACTAAAAAAAATATGGCTTACAACTCTGATAAATATATTACTCACCATTCCTGAACAGCCTCAACTTGTCAGACTTGGTAGCCGAACTGCCGTACAGCGGTGACCCATCTATATAGGCGGACACTTGGTTCAGCTGCTCCCGCCAGCCGAGGGCGCAGTCATCGCGGGGTGCTGGTGCTGAGCGCACGAAGTCGAGGCACCGTACTCCACGAGGCCCGTAGAACGGATCTGATGCTGGCACTGGGATGGGGAAGCATTCTGGATGCTACAAAAGAAAGTTGAGTGTCCGTTAAAATTTAGGAGAATTCTTTTTAAAATTGATTTGGTTGTTCCAAAAAGCATTATGAAGAAGTATAACAAAATGTCGTATAATTCATTGGTCGTCACTTGGTTTCAGAAATAAAAAAGAGGAAAAATTCGAATTATCGGTGAATGTTATTACTTTTTAGAAAGGATAATATCATCATGAACTTGCCATAAACTCTTTAGGAACGAAATCCTTGCCGCCATCCTTACAGCACCTCGGCACAGATCCATTAAAACCTCGGGACTGGGATGATGACGTCACATCATGGTCCAGGAACTGCCCCCACTGCATCAGCAAATGCGTTACTCCAATCGTTTCCGCATTCCTATCTTCATGTATGGTGGAACTGATCTCTCTTGCTGAAGGAAGTTTAGAGCCGAAGATGGACCGCCTGGCTGCTTGGAGTCCATCAGAGTAGGATGGTGATAGGAACCGCTGGACAGGAGTCATGGTGGCCCCCCATCGGGGACGGTTGATGTTGTTGCATGTGCCATCGTGGGTGCGGTATCTAGAAGAAAGAACATTGGTTATTAATCAAGTTCAAAGTTAGCTTTTTATTATTTTTACGGGCCCATTTGATTGAGAATTGTAAGACAAATCTGATATTATGGTATTTGTCTTTTGATCTGATAAATATAACATTGGATGGTTACGTAAAATCAATGTATTACCTTTTAGAAGCAGGAGGACACTTGGGAGCTCCCCTCAAAGGACAGTGCTGCATCAGAGGCGACTGCCTCATCATGCTGGCTGTGGGGAACTGAGTCTCCTCCTCGCGGCCTTCCAGACCCTCGCCATTGCCACCGCTGTAACAAACAAATAATTATTAAGACTCAGATAAGGTTGAAACTGTACGGAAAGATGCATCACTTCCTCTTGTCCTATTTGATCCAAGTTGGTTGGGGTCACTAATAAATCTTAACTGGAGTAAAATGCAGGTTAGCATTTTACTTTAAAAATGCTTTTTCCCCCTCAAAAAACACACAGTTCAAAAAAGGATTTTTTATAACATAATATAACATTACACCCTTTATTCCCGAAGGGGTAGGCAGAGGTGCACACAGAATTAACACCCACTTTTCACTATTTATGTTATTAGTCCCATGTAATAGGGGGTGAGGATATTTTTATATTATTATATTAATTTGGATCCTATACTTATTTTACTATGTTTGTGAATGTTCTTAGTAATTGATACATGTCATGTAGAGCTGTGTGGTATGTTTATGTATGTTGATGGTCGCATGTGGTAAGATCGTCAACTAATTAATTACGGAGCTCGGTGAACCGCAGATATTAGTGCGATGTGCGTATCAATAGTTAATGAAACCGCATGTTCAATTTAATTAATGTCCCGTATTTCGTAGTTGTTTACTCACTTTCTTTAGAAAATTGATGTCATTTAAATGGTAATTTGTTGAATATTTCGATAGGTAAAATTTTCTATGATATCCCTGTGCCATAGGGAATGAAAATTTGTTACGAAACACGTGGTTAAAGATTCCCTAATCTGTAACTACGACTGTAAAATAATTACAGGAACGTTGGGGTTTAACTTTAAAATAGACTAGCCGTATAATAACCCCGTTCTGTTGTATTCTTATAAATATTGAAGGAAAATAACACACGTAATCTGTCCTTACTAACTAAACGAAAACCTTCAGATGAGGTTTTCCTTAATCCTTCAATTAATGTTGTCTAAATGTAGACAAAAACAGAACTGAGTAATATTTTTTAACAAATGTTTTATATATGTATCTCGAAGTACGTTTCTTTATGACAAGATGTTTAAGCAATATTAAATGGGAAGAAAGAGATTGCAGGCAGAAATCCCTGAACCGATTTCGATAAATTATAATATTATACCTAAATGTGACTGATGATGAATGAAAGGTACATTTCAGATGTAAAATCTAATTTGTAAAATCGAAAAGAAAACCAAACAGATCTTTTAACTGACTTCCCAAAAGGAGGTTGTTATCAATTCGTCTGTATATTTTCTTAAGCCTATATTTACATTAATAAAATTACAGTCGTCATAAAACTACCGGAGCTATTCTGTGCCAGAGCTAGTTGTCGGCTAGCTGTAGTTGCAAAAATAAACAGACAATATTGCAAAACGCAACCGGATTCAGACACGGATTTAAACATATCTTGATGACCAGACCGATATCCATTAATGTGTTTATTTTGTAACAAAACTATGTCTAAAGGTCACCGTTAATTATCTATAATTATGACTCTTAACCTCACAGTATAAGGGTTATAATTGTGTGTATTTTCTTATGTTTATTAATTAATATATTAATATATTTTTTATATATTGTCAAGGTTATACATATATTAACATAGTTGTTATCGAGAAGATTCAAGGGAAAGTGTTGCATTATGTAAATCTTGTTTCGAAAATCAATGGCGTTGTCCGCACGTCTGCGAGGTGAAAGTGACATAAGAACCGCGCCATTTTGAATTTTATCGTTTTTAAATTGTTTTCTTTTTTTTTTTCAATAGTTTATTGGGTTTTTTATGCAGATAAATAATGTTATGGTGCATTTCATTTTAATAATCGACTTTGGTGCGGTTTATTACAGTTTCTTTTTTGTTATTTGCCATTGTGTTTGTGTAATTGATTGTTATAATGGCTATATTTTTTTGACTACGTTCATTCAAATGTACGTAAAATAAAAAAAATATTCCTAAATATCCGTGTGAGTAAATAATTCGAAAGTATTAAGTTAAAACATGATAATATCCTCAAACATAAATTTTCAAGAATCATTGCCCCTGAAAAAGCAGTGTATTTGCGTGTGTGCAACTAGCCATGCAAAGCAAAGTTAAGGACAAGAGCACGCAAGGTATAGGTAACATTAAGGAAATGAAATTGTAGGTAAATCTAAATTTAATGTAAATGTAATGCATTCAAGCGTTTCAGGAAATGTTCAGCTTGCTTTAATATAGGTACCGAATATTTTTATTGTATGCACATTGCATACGAAGAACTAATGTAAGTTTGGGTTTTTATTTTATTGACACTGCACTGCTTTTTCCATTTTCCTCGTTAATAGAAGATTGTCGTGTTGGTCGAGTAGTCACCAGCGCATTGGTGCGAAGTTTCAGGCAGAACTTATATAAAGGCTTTAAGGAGCTTACAAATTCTCGCTTAAATCAGTTTCAGAAATGCGCGTAGCATTTAAAAAAAACCTTTATTTACATAACTTTGAAGAAAAATTGTGACTGGGACTTCTGAGTATGAAATGTTAACAAATAACAAGCAAATTTTTTTATATTTGATGGACCGGCGACATTTGACCACTATCTCGCCTGGTGGTAGGCGATGTGGTATAGGATGGAGCTGGTGAGGTCTTAATACTGAGTTACATATTATTTGGTCAGTACAATGCGACTAGAGTAAAGTAGATCTAAGTTTAAAAAATAGTAAAATGTTTGGTTTTTCGTATGTACCTATGCAAGCTTGATTGTGCGCAATTATTTCGTAACTGGCCGAATCAATTTGATGCGGTTTTCAGATAAGTGTTTGTTGCACTCAGAGAAGGTTTTAGTACCTATAATAATTAACCGACTTCAAAAAATTAGGGTGTTAAATTCGGTTTTTTAAAACGTAGTTTATAAAATAATGATTATTTACTTGACTTATCTAATGAAACAATTTTATCTGGCGTTAATAAAACACACATTTTCAAATGATCACCACATATTAGAAATCAATTATCATATACCAAAGATACTGCAGTGCCCAAATCCCAGTCCCATTTTGGAAATCTCGATACTATGTGATAACAAGCAGTAGTATGTGACCCCGAGTGAAAGTGAACGCACTTTCGCCCGCTCAGCTGCTCACATAATAACCTCTACACATATGTATGTGTAAACAGACACGATTTGTTATGAAAGTGAAATTATTATTTTTGTTGTTAATCGATTTTTATCGATTATTTGCAGTTTCATTTGTCAAGGAATTTGTTGTAGAAAGTAACGATGTTTTTATCGACTGTTTTTTTATTTACGATTTATATTGCGAACGAATATTTTATTGAATAATCTTCGACTGCCTCGTTGGCCGAGTGGTCGCAAGTGCAACTGTCGGGCAAGGGGTCTCGGGTTCGATTCCCGGGTCGGGCAAAGTATTACTAGGTTTAAAAAAATCTCAGTAGTATCATAGTAGCACGGAGTCTCCAGACTCCGTGCTACTACTGGGATTTGTGATTGTGCCCGGTATGTGGCAATAGGCTCACACCCTATTACATGGGACCCATAACATAAATAGTGAAAAGTGGGTTCACATTGTACAGTGGAAGTGGCATAATGTGCACCTCTGCCTACCCCTTCGGGGATAAAAGGCGTGATGTTATGTTATGTTAATCTTTGACATTGTAATTTTTTTTTTGTTGCTTCTATTGGAGATTGTCTTATTGGTTAGTAAGCTAAGTGCTTGCAAGCACGAACAGTCCTTGTTCAGTATTAAGGATGAATGCCTGAGTTGGGAATTGTTTTATTGTTTTATCTATCTATAACTAAAGTTGTAAATAGGCTGTGATTGAAAGTCTTGTTAGAAACTTTGTTAAAAATATACGTAGGTAGGTAAGTAGTTGAAAAATCGTTAGCACCTTGGGAACTCTTAAAAAGCATTCTATTGAAGCATTTTTTTTTTATTTATTGGAAAATATTTGTATTCTAAGTGTATCGTGTTATTGTTTCCGATTGGTATGAATTGTTTTAAAACCTATTGTTATCGAGTTAAGTATACTACATTATTGTTATAGTTTATATCAATGTATAATAGTCACACGCGCACTATAAAGCTGTTTTTATGTAAGTAAGTAACTTTGAATTAGCGCGGTTCAATTGATTAATGTTTTTTTGAGATCTTTTTGGCATAGTTATAACTGTTGCAAATATGTTGCTATCTACGGTTTTATAAATTGACGGTTCTTTTGCGTTTTTTTTTGTTAAATTGTTAATGTAACTTAATAATTTTTTTAAGAAGTTAAACAATATGTATGTAATATGTATGTATTACTTTAAATAATGCATCCTAGTCTGTGCTTAGTAAATGTGTTGAGTATTGAATTCGAGATAAAAATAGTGCATTACCAACCTGCATTTCCCGCTCTGCAGTCAAGCACGTCCGAGTCAGTCAATCCAAAGTCAAGTCACGTCATTTTGTCACACTCGTCACTGTCACTGTCACGTCACTAGTCAGTCATTCCTCGTTACCTTCGTCTTCAGTCATAAAAAACACCGTCAAAACATTTATAGTCTATGCTTACGATACGATAAAAAAAAGAATGACTAGAATTTGAATTTGGCGCGCGAGAATGTCAGTACGCGTGGGGCCGCCATGGCGTCCGCGCATAACTGTCGTGGGGGGAGGAACGCGCGCGCTCAAATACTACCACTACTACTCGCAAAATGTCGTAATTATAATTTTAAAAGTTGCATGTTGACATTAGCGGGTGCTACGGTACGATAAACAGTAATAAACGATTTGATTTGGAACTGATCAATTACATTAAAGGGGTTCAATACTTCGATGTTTTATATTACAAGTTTTTGGTGTATCTACTTTAATTTTTTGTAACAGATTCACAGAGATAATGCAATTTCGAATTATGAAATGGTGGCGGAGATTTGGCGCGTTAAATTCGAAAATTCCTTAGCTGGTTGGAAATCTTGGAGTGGGTAGGATCAACGGGGAGTGGTAAACATGTTTTAAAAAGTGAAACTTAAGGCTTAACTTGCATGTCGTGTGGGTAAATTGCATATTTATCAGAGTACATTACTAAACTGCATAAGACTCGACGGGATATGTCAACAGTTTCCTCAAGACAACAATTACCTTAAAAACTTTCAGCATGTGAAATTCTAAATAGGTTTTTATAATAAAAATATTGAAAATATTTATCAATTCTTAATTGTTAGGTATTAAAGAGTGATAATGTGATGACAGACATTAATGAGTTCATTATAAGCGTATTCAAGTCGCACTTGCATATTTGAGAGGGCCTTAACCTCAAAATCCTAATAGTTTCTCCAGGTGCAACTACAGAACACTCAAGACAGTTATTGGTTAAGGTAAATGGCACTATGAAAATGGTGGACGACAATTTTGGCAAATAGCATCTACCATAGCACCAGAATCATAAAGTAATTACGTGTCACTATTACTAGGACTATTCTACTCTAACGCTCTCTATTCTCTACTAAGATCAGAATAGGGTGGATGCCTAATTTTTATTTTAATGTCCGTCTGGTAGATTATTTTAAATCATTACACACGTATTTTTTATTTTCTTACAGAAACGAATACTTTCGCC